TTTAACATAAGGCTGATTCTCTTGAACTGTGTGACCAGCGGAAGCAGGTGTGTGTGAACTGGACACAGGTTGAAGAATCTGCCCCTGTTAAGGCAGATGGGCCTGATTATTGTCCCCCAAGGTCCTAAAACTTGTAAGGACTTGGATAATGAGGAGGCTTGGACTGAAATGTGAGTCCTGTTGGAGACTCCCTCTCTACCCCCCACCTTGGTGCCTCTCAAATACCCAATGGAATTCCAACTTGAAGGACTGCATCCTGCTGGAGCTGAACTTGCCTGCCAAAAATGTGTCCGACCTGCATTCCTGGCTCCCTGGTTCAGAGACTACCTTTCTCAAGGGCTCTGTGCCTGCGCTGGGAAGGAAACAACGATGAGAAGGAAACAAGTGTATATAAATTGCTGTCAATAAATGACACCCAACGCTTCCAGCTCAAAAAAAAAAAAAGAGAATGAAATAAACTTTTTCAATTCATGTGAAATACTTTCTTAAATGGCGATTAAATTGCTAGGTCATACATATTTATTGCTTGGTCCTGATTACTTAATAAATACATTCTTGGGTATTTCTTTTGTTTTAGGGTTGTCTTGAAAATGTTACAGAGGCACCTTCTGGATTTTCCCTGGACCACTGCAGGCCATATTTGTGGGCTCTACCTCCTGCGGGAATGCTCACCTTCTTGAAGCCAGGACTCACACGTCAAATTTTTTGGAGACCTTCCTGTTCAGGCTACTGAGGACCTGGGGGCTCCCCTCCCGGTCTTCCTCCCCACAACCTTGTTCCCCGCCCCCTGAATCATCTGTCACCTTCCTACACCCGATGCAATGCACCTGCTCATTACGTTCACCTGCTGTCCCCACTGGAGCAGGGATTTTGTCTGTTTTCCTCAAGGAAGCATCCATAGCACAGTCCACTGTTGCTGCTGAGGCTGTACTAACCCTGTGAGTGAATAAATGAGAGGCAGTGGTTGGGGCAGGGGCCTTTTGTCCATTCATTCACTATGCTTTAGATGGTAACTTAGGACATGGTGGGACCAGTATTTTCTGGGCACAATAAATCAGTATACATTGTGAAGTCAAGAAGTAGAAAGAAATGTGAGGTGGAAGAATATGAATTTTCAACAAGTAATTGGGAAGAGTGAGACAAAAACCAATCAAGAAAGGGGCAAGATTGGCTTGGTTTTAGCCAACATGGTGGAGAAATGCAGCTGTCTGCAATGGAGACTGAGCACTGTTAGACTGGTCTGCAATGCCGAGACCACCCCGACAGCCTGCCCTGCATCCTCCTCTCTCCTGAGGCTGAATGCAGTTCTTGTGCCTTCAGTGCCAAGGAAGCCATAGTCCCAGGCCAGAGGAAGGGCTGAGGTGGACAGTGAAAAAGAAGGTAGTAGGTACAGAAAGAGACCCCTGGAAGCAATGAGACCCTGAGGATAAACAAAAAATGTCACTTGAAAACAGGACAAAAAAAGAAAGGTATAAATAACAAGGTGGCAATTATCCATAATTCCATACACAGTGTTTAATGTTAGGGTTTTGGTACAATCATATGTGATCTGTATAAGATTATGATCATGTACCCTACACTTATTTTAAATGACTAGAGTATTCTTTTTAAGAGCAGAGTTTGAGTTGATAGTGCAGAGTTCTCTCTCATCCTGTCACTTAAACCCATTTTTTGTTTTTGCCTCGTGTCATTTTATTTTCTTTATTCACTTTTAATTTCAACTCTTTTTACAGATTAAAGAGTACACGTGTAGGTTTGTTACATGGGTCAATTGTGGGAGGCTGCAGCTTGGGGTCCCAACGATCCCATCACCCAGACAGTAAGCTTGGTACCCAGTGGGTGGTGCTTCAGCCCACGTGCCCCACCTTCCTCCCCTGTCTAGTGATCTCCAGTGTCTGTGGTTCCCATCTTTACATTCATGTATATTTAATGTTTAGACCCCACTTATAAACAAGAACCTGCAGTATGCAGTTGCCTATTCTTCTGTTAGGTCACCTAGGATAATGGCCTCCAGCTCCATCTGTGTTGCTGAAAAGGACATGATTTTGTTATCTTTCGTGGCTGCATAGATTTCCATGGTGCACTCAGTCCACTGCTGCTGGGCACTTAGATTGATTCTGTGTCCTTGCTCATGAGAATAGCACTGCAATGAACATATGAGTCTATTTGATTGAATAAATTATTTTCCTTTAGATATATCCCCAGCAGTAGGATTGCTGGGTTGAATGGTAGTTCTATTTTATCTTCGTTGAGAAATCTCCAAACTGCTTTCCGTAGCGGCTGGACTAGTTTGCTTTCACAGCAACAGTGTCTAAGTGTTCGCTTTTCTCCTCAGCTTCACCAACATCTGTGGTTTTTCGACTTTTTAAGAATTGCCGTTTGACTGGTATAAGATGGTACCTCACTATGGTTTTGATCTGCATTTCTCTGATGATGATTCATATTGAGCATTTTTTCATGTTTGTTGGCCACTTGCAGGTCTTCTTTTGAAAAGCATCTGTTCATGTTCTTTGCTTACTTTTTAAGTGGGTTTTTTGTTCTTGCTTGTTGAGTTGTTTAAGCTCCTTGTAGATTCTGCATATTAGACATTTGTCAGTTGCATAGTGTGCAGATATTTCTCCTGTTCTATAGGCTGTTTACTGTGTTGCTAGTTTCTTTTGCTGTGCAGAAGTTCTTTAGTTTAATGAGATCCCATTTGTCAATTTTTAGTTTTGGTTGCAATTGCTTTTGGTGTCTTCATCATGAAATCTCTGCCAGGTCCTATGTCCAGAGTGGTAATTCCTAGGTCATCTTCCAGGATTTTTATAGTTTTAAGACTTACATTTAAATCTTTAATCCATGTTGAGATATTTTACATATATGGTAAAAGATGGGGTTCAGTTTCATTCCTCTGCACACGGTTAGCCAGTTATCCTAGCACCATTGGTTGAATAGGGAGTCTTTCCCCATTGCTTATTTTTGCTGATTTTGTTGAAGGTTACATGGCTGGAGGTGTGAAGGTTTCTTTCTGAGTTCTCGATTCTGTTCCACTGACCTAAGTGTCTATGTTTGTACCAGTACCATTCTGTTTTGATCACCATAGCCTTATATTATAGTTTGAAGTTAGGCAATGTGATGTCTCTGGCTTTGTTCTTTTTGTTTATGATTGTTTTGGCTATTTGGGCTCTTTTTAAATTCCAAATCGCTTTTAGATTACATTCTTCTAATTCTGTGAAAAATGACATTGATATTGATAAGGATAATGTTTCATCTATAAATTGCTTTTGGAAGTATGGCCATTTTAACTATATTGATTCTGCCAACCCATTAGCATGAAATATTTTTCCATGTATTTGTATTGTCTCTGATTTTTTCAGTCATGTTTTGTAGATTCTCTTTTTCCATACAATATCTAGCAGAATCACTCATTTATTACTCCCTATCATGGAGGAAAAATGAAATAACATTAATTCTCTACTGGATAATACAACAAAATTCCAAACTCAGTAGGTTTTTGGGACATAGAACTCTTTATTTAAATATCAGTACAGGGTAATAAATTACTATAGGAAACAATCATTAACATAATTTTTATTAGATATTTAAATGATTATCTTTCAGGACATGAAAGGAATCCCTGGAGGCCTGAAGTCTAACATGATTGTTTTATTGACAATATCATTTGGAAGAACAGTGTCCCCATTCAAAGAAGTAACTGATTTTCCAAACAAAAGCAGAAGAAAGAAAATGTTGACATATCTTGTTTAGTCAGCCAGAACTTTAAGTGCAAAAATTCCATCAGGTAGCACCAAGAGAAAATAGCATAAGATGTTAGGAATAACCGTTGGTAAATTGTTGACAAAAGGGATCAAGGCAGTGAAAAAGCTATTGGGTCCATGGTGTCATCATGATCTGCTGGAGGCCTCTGGACATACACAGTAGGTGGTGGGCAGGTGGCCAGCCAGAAGGGCGAGTTTGATCAAGACCGTGCTCACAGGGGCTTTTTGGTGTCATCTTCAGCCTTCAGAAAGGATACAAATGTTGGTTTAAATGGTGAAGGAGAACCCAGATCACTTTTCCACATCTGAAAACCCAGTGACACCTGCAGTCTTGAGGCTGGTGATAAATCCACAAGGAGAGGAGCAAAAGCAAGTGCAGTGAGGAAGAGGAGTCAGGAGTGAGAAGGGAGAGGAGGATAGGAGAGCACAGGCACCCCAAGGAGGAGCCCTCTATGAGGGGGTCCTGTTCACATTCACTCAAACACACACACACACACACACACACACACACACACAGGGCTGATTAGATCTGAACTCAGGACAGCAACCTTTGTTTTTTTCCCACTTACTTGTTCACTTCAGCATGTTTTCCCAGTGTATCAAGAATTCCTCAAGCCAAGTTTCAGTCTCCCAGTGAAATCTTCTGGAAGAACCTGGTCACATCCCCGTTCTTCTCCCACTTCTCTTTCATCTTCTTGGCTCCAGGATGAAGCACTGTCCACTTTCTGTTGTTTGGGTCAAAGAGGAGGAACCTCTGTCCATTGAAGAGGAAGTGCCAAGATCCTCTGCCGTGTCCATGGGCTTCGTGCTCACAAGACATCCTGGCCCGCAGAATGAGGGGCTCTGCCCCATTGGAAAGAGATCAGCTCTGATCTTGAGAAATTCTGAGTCCCACCCTGCTTCCTTTCCTGTCTGCTGCCCTTGCTCTTTGACTTCTTGAGTGATATAAACCTGATTTGTTTATTTTTAATCAATTAATTTATTTTTTAACTAGGCAAAGAACATTATACCTTTGTTTCAAACTTTATTCCCAGGCTTCTTCGGCTTAATTAGCTGCAAAGAATAAATTGTGTATATGCAAAAACTGAAAGGAGCTCAGTGTCCAAGGGGCTTGGGCTTAAAAGTACTGGTGACCTAGCTTTTATCATATCCATAAACAAACATTTCTTAAAAAGCAGTCATAATAGAAAATAGCAGTTCCTAGTAACTTCTTCAAGTTTTATCTTCAGAAGTTGGCTCAATTCATTTTGCCTCATGCTTGGAAGCCTCATCAAAATTCTCCACAAGATCAGTAACTTCATCATCATCATCCTCTCCAGTTGCAAGTGGTGCTGGTCTATCCACAGACTGTTTGGCCAGAGCTTCAGCCAGTCTCCTTAAACTAGTCAGACAGTCTGCACCAAGCTGGATGAAGATGCTGGGTAGCATTGCTGTCAGCTGCTTTGTCTTAGCATGGCCTGTAATGGTGAAAGGTTTCCCTGCCAGAGATGTCTGAACTTCAGGGTTGTTAAAGTGGATCGCTCTTCCTTGGTTTGTAAACACATTCACCTCTTCAGTACCAGAGATATTGTTTACCCCTAACTTCTTTAAGGAGAACTGAAAGTTTTTATCTTCTGTTGTGGCTGTTCTATGAACCACCTTCTTCTTTCTGCGAGCAGGTCCTTTCCCACCAATGTACACTTGTGCCTGCAGTTTGGCAGGTTTTTCCTGGTTCATGATTGTTTCTTTCACCTTGTCAGAGCGGATAAGGGGCCGTGCAGGGGACTAGGGTTGGTGTTCAGGTGGTCTCGGGTGGACCAGCTGAGATTAGGCACACACATGCAAGGACGCCAACCTGATTTATTTTTTGCATGAACCCATTAAAGCCTTCTAAGCTACTATAGTGTCTGCTCCCTCCTGTCCTGGGCCATTTTAAACTTACCACTGGGTATTCAATTCTCCACTTGAATGTCAGCCAATTGCTCTTTGAGGAAATCTACCACATCTCTTAGGGTTTCAGTTTGTTCTTCCCAGGCTTTTGTGACATTGACCTTCCTCCCCAGAGAAGCAAAGGCTTTGACCTTGTGGTTAAAACAGTCATAGTGAAGAAAAGGCCTTTCATCCACCTGGTCTTGAACTTCACACCACTGTGGTTCAGGTCTGAACTTAGGAGTGATGATGAAGTCATAGCAAAGATAGTGTGTGTGTGCGAAAGATAAACACAGGAGAGGGCTGGTGTTGGGGGAAGTGGAACCTGAGACCCCTCCTCTTCCTTATGGTGACTGCAAGTAAATATCTCTGAGGGGCTGGGCTGGCAGAGCAAGATGTGCCCCAGCCAGGACTGTCATGTCAACTAGTTAAAGACTAGAATGTCTCCCTTTCTTGAGTACAAGGCAAGGAAGGTCCCTGCAGCCATGAAACCATGCATCCTCCCAAGACATATCCCACCTGGGCTCTGCCCACATGGGTCAGCACATGACCTTGTCATGGAGGTGCCAGGCCTGCTGTGGCAGGAAAAGGCCTGGGTGAGGAGGATCTTTGGCAGCAGCCCCTGTGGACTGCGGGAGGTGGGAGAGGGTGTGGGAGCTGCCCTAGGATGCTCCAGCTCAGTGAGTGGGATAAGGACAGAATCCAATTGGAATCAAAAAGAGATTATTGTCATGGTCCCAGGATTTAAACGTTAGCAAAGCCCCTGGTGATGATGCCCATCTGCTATGAGATGCATTCCTGAAACCTTGGAAAAGGGATGGTTCACAGGGCGAGAAGTAGAAAATCTAGAACTTCTAAGGCACGGTGGAGAGGAAGGGATCACAGGCTCAGAGAAGTGCCCATGCTAGAGGGGTCTGAGTGTGAAAATCCAGAACAATGTCCATCCTCTGTGCTCCTGGGAAGCCTGGAGGACTCCTGTTTACCCAGCATATAAAGCAGGCCCTGAGAGAAGGCAGCAGACTGTCAAGAAACGCAGGGATGCCTGTCGCTGAAAGCCAGGGTAGGAAATGCTGTTCCCTAAGTGGCTCCCAGGAGTAATGATCTCAAACAACCGATCCCAGGTGGAGGCTGTCACCTGTCAGGAGGAGGGAAAGTGCAATGACAAAAATGATTAGAGAAGTCACAATGCCAGCTGGAGTCCTGAGCCACAGAGAGCTACGCTCATGGCTCATAGAACAAGGGGGACCAAGAGGCAAAACAGATGGAGACTCACCCGGATCCTGCGGGACTTTAACCACAATAAATAAAGACAAAACAGAGAGATGGATGATTTGGAAGAGGAAAGTGGACATTTCATAAAAAACTGTATTACTTTGC